AGATTGGAGAGGAAGGGATTTCAAGAGACTAAGCTGTTTGCGCCACCCGCCACTGTGATTGTATTGCTTTCGATGTGTACAACACAGTAAGCAAGCATTCGAGCATTCCAAAGGGTGGGGGAGTGGTTAGGAAACAAACAAAAACTGAAGGTATGAAATTGAGTAGTCTTGTCTCTTTCCAGCCAGAAAACAGAGTCACGATCACGTGATTTCCCATTTAGCCATCACTTCACTTAGCAGTGGAGTTGCTGGTCCCAATTAGGGTTCCTGAGCAAGGACTACCTGTATGTAGGTTCAGTTAGCTCTGCTGATCAAACTAAGAAAATATGTAGACCAATACTGCCACCCAGTGAAAGATGTTTGTAACCATTTTAAAATGCTATTTATTCATGACTCTAAACCACTCTAGATCTTTTTCAGATGGTAGGTAACAATACTTTAAATTAACCAAGACTCTCAGAAGATGACTTTGATATTATTTCTAGAATTTGAAATATTGTCCTTAGCCTTCTATTGAGGCTTACAACCAAATTGCCTCTTCTGAAGGACTTAAAATGATACTATTAGTATAGAATCTAGTCAGATCACTTCTGCTTGCTTTCTTCTACCATCAAGTGTGGCAAAATGAAAGCTAATCATCTCTGCATAATGGATCTCCTCAACATGGGACCCTGGGTTGATGTTTTTAATTTGTTTATTCCCTCTCACAAGAAAGTAAAGCCAAACAAGCTTGGATAGTATTGGGTACCGGTATGCAGCTTACTCACAATAAGCTCTATCTAGTTAGATTCCTGTTTTATTACGACATGTGAATGCGGCCTGTGTTTACATAACGTTCTAAAACACATCCAAGAGCACCACACCACATGACACAGCAAACTACAGCCAGCCCAAATTTGCCACTTGCCAGGCTTGTCAAGTGATATCCACACTACTTTTGCAGTAGCTAGCCAACTAGCATGTCTGCACCTTCCTCCCAATTCATCAGATTAGGGAAACACTTCAAAGCCTGTGGTGGTCCTACTGGAGTCAGAGCAACCATGTACAGAGTGGGGAACATTAAATCTCCTGAAACCCCCTTGATATCCTTGTGTCAGTCCCTGCAGGCATAAAGGGAGAAACGTTGAGTCTAGAGAAACAAGGACACTATCATTCAAGCGGGCTCATTTTATGGACCAGATAGGCTGTTGGTTCTGGGTAAAAAATAAATAAGCAACAAAATAAAAACTTTGGTGCAAATTATAATTAAAAGGCTCTTTCTTAGCTGTACTGCTTAGAGTGACACCTGAACCCAACCAATTATTTCCACTCAAAATACCTGCCTTCTTAACATCTTTTGGGACACTTCAGGTATTTCCTTGCCTACTGTTGCCTAAATGCCCTCCTTTGCCATAGACAAGCCTATCTAAGGCTCAATGAGCTCACAGGTAGAGGTTGAAACAGAAGAAATTTTGAAGCCGGGCACATTAACCATACCTTGGCCTTGCCTTTGCCTCGTCGTTTTGGTGTGTCTTCCTCGTAATCCTCATCATCCAGATCATCTAAGAAATCATCAGGTTCCAGGATCCGCTAAAACAGAAAGAAAAGAAAAGGATGCAAAAAGCTATGAGAATCTGATATTTAGTTTATCCAAGGAATATTCCTGCTCTAAATCACAGCTCTGCCAGTAGCAGTTCTGTGACAAGCTGGCTGATAAAACAACCCCCCTTGCAAAAACAAAGAGACTCTGCAATTATGCAGGACAAATGCTAACAACGGTGTTCTTGCTAAATCAGTGACCATTTTCAAGGCAGATTCTGAACCAAAAGGCAGGTACAACCTGAATGACATGATAAATAGACAGGACTTTTCATAAGTCCTTAAAGACCTGGCTCTGTGCCCGGGCCTGCGGCCCTGAATGTGTGCAGGGACCCGTTTCTTGGTTATTTTAACAATTATGGTGTATGATTTATTCTCAGCTGCTATGTATTATTGTAATTGTTTTTATTTTACTTTTAATTTTGTTCGCTGCCCGGAGTCACCTGTTGAGACGGGCAGCCATACAAACTGAATGAATGAATGAATAAAATAAAGTCAAGCACAGAAGCCACGTGTTCTATACATGTGATGGAATGTATCTATGAAGAGGAGGGTGATGTGGTGGATAGCAACAGAGAGCGAGGCGATCAGGAAGGAGGGGGTGCATTCCAGGAAGGAAAAGGAGACAAAAGACAACACAGTCCGCAGGGGGAGCGTGGGAAGTATAAGAAGCTCAGGATAGCCACTCCCTAGAATCTCCCAGGGTATATCCACTAGTTGCAGTAGTACAGATTTAGCCTGGCAAGATTCTGTCTATATGCTGTAAGCAAACAATGGAACTTAACTCAACTGGACTGTTTCACCGCTGTTCTTGGGCTGGGCCTGACAATACATGAGCATCTTCCAAAGGAAACTTCTGTTATTTTACCACAGGGCCCCCTGGAGAAAGTAAAGACAGGCAAGGCTGCCCTTCTCTACCATACCTTCCGGGTGCGGCTATTGGCAACGGGGAACTCGCTGAGGCTGTCTTCATCGGTGCGAGGGTCAGGCAAGCTGCGTTTCTCAAGAGGGTCTGTCCTTAAGAGGGCCTCCAAACTGCTGCCATCCTGAGAGATTAAGCCTTCTTTCTTCAGGGCCTGCTCAGTGTCTGCCAAAAATAAAATTGAGATTTCGCTGTCTGCCAAAAATAAAATTGAGATTTCACTGTCTTAATGCCACTACAGTTAAAACAAAGACTCTAAACTTTCGTTAACTAGGCCAAATAACCCAAGAAAAAGCTGACAAGGACCACAGCTAAGGCCAATGCAGAAATCTATTAGGTACCGAAAAGCAATCACCATAGCCTAATTGCCAGTAAGCACAACTGGGCTGGCAGATGCAGGAAGTGGACTTATTTGCCAGTAAATACAGATAGCCGAGCTACCAGATGCAGTATAGAACTCTGGGAGCATTATTTTAGAGTTCTACAAAAAGTGACAATCTCTCCCAGCAGCCAGTTTGCCTCATGATGTATCTTGGAACACTCAGTATTTGGGAAACCAAGCAGGGCATGACGTATTAATTTTAATTTGCTCTGTATGCCAGGATAATAGCACTACAGCTGTTCAATTACTGTAATGGTATTTTAACCACACCATTTATATTTTGCCTGTATCTGCTGCTGAAAACAACAAATACACGAAGCTTTATCCACAACAAGTTTATTAGCCTTCTAAGTACACAGGTATTCTGCTGATTAAAAAAAAAAAAAGACAGGGATGAAAATCTCGAAGGACTGTGAGTGGTGGCAGGGACAGAGTGAGGAATTTCATAAGAACAAAAAATCCGCATTAGAAGAGTGGTTTACTAATTACTATATAAAATCAGAAATGGTAGCATGACCCATTAAGGAAAAGCACAAATAAATATCTATCTCAAACCACAGAACTATACTTACATGCAGAAGCAAACCGTTGTAACAGTAAAAAAAACAACCAGCACTCGTTATTCAGACTGTTGTTGGGCCTAAACTAATCCTGCTTCCCACCAATTCCAACAAATCTCAAAGAATCTGAAATAGGTTTACACATATATACATTTATCTACAATTTTGCCATATTTTTTCACATGGTATTGTCCGAGTCTGATCATTGTGGGTGAATGGACCCCCAAAAAATCTCTCTCCCCCTCCGCCCCTTATAATGCTTCAGCCCCAGATCTGAAACATGTCCAACACTTCCTTGTGGTAGAGGCCAACGGTCCTGGAGAAGCTATCTTTTAAGAAAGTCATCAGTACTGGATCTTTTCACTGAGAAGCTCCTGCTAAACCTTCAAGGTGCTTTTGAGTTTTCCAAAGAGCTGACTGAGTAAAATTTAAAAGGGTATCTTCCCAAGGTTCTTATGGATGCTTACTGAAGTCAGTAAACTGAGCCAATGTTTATATCAGAAATAATGCAAGCTGCAGAAAGAATGGTAGTTTAGTCTCGTCTGACACGGAAAATCCATTTTCTTTATTTTAGCAATGCAACTATATTGAGAAGTCACTGATCCTCATCATCCTACTTTAAATGGCTAACAATCTAGCTGCAAATCTGCCTTATGTTTAGTGGCAATCTATGGGATCAATAGTCTGTGTTTCTTCACTGACTATAAATGAGAGGAAGTCTGTCTCTTCACCAGACCAGTATGAAAACTTATCTTTAACCATGTGGAAGACATATGCAGAAGTCCAAGCTTTTCCCCCTCTGCTGCACCCACTTACGAGCCATAGAAACTAATCAGGCCAACAGAAGGAGGATGGAATGATCTCTTCTGCGACCCTTAACGTTGACCTGTACAGAATTCCTAGTCGCAGCCAGACAATTTGTGAAATACATGGCTGTCCTGTTGGTCCACTAGTATATAAGTAACAGGATACAGACAAAGGTACTTTGTCGTGGCTGATTTAGAACTATGGAGTTCTCTTCCTCAGACAGTCCATGCATCTATGATGGAGTGCATTCCACATACCTTGGAATTTACCTGGACAATTACAAATTCTGCAAAGTATGCCTGAAGGATCATTTCCGCCAGCAAAAGCTGTTATGATTCCATCTGTAATGATGGAGAGTGAAATCTTAGTACAATACAGACAAGGCAAACCTGGTTTAATGGTAGGGAAAGAAAGTCTTGGATCCTCTGGAGGGTGAGCACGGCGTTTTTTCCTCCAGCGCCGAGCCGGGTAGGAATAGAGCTGGCCAGATGCCAAACCTTCCAACAACAAGAAAAGAGGAAATCAAAGTTTATATATAAATTGAATAAATAAAGTTGGGGGAAAAAAGCATCAGGAAAACAGTTCTAAGGCAAACTCTTCTGGTTTGGGACATTAAACATTTCCAGCAGCTCTCTTTGCAGGGATCAAATGAGCATTTCTAGTCTATACTAGCACTAATTCATGCTGCTGTCATA